ACAGCCTCCGTTGGTCTAGTGGGTAGAGGCGTTGGGCCACCTATCTGCTAAACCAACGCTGTGCTGAGGGAGCGGGTTCGATCCCCACTGAGGGAAATTTCATTCGTGATTTTTCGCTCGGTGAGGTCGAGCCCGAGCCCGAAGTGGTTCGGATTCCACTATAAATTGTAGGTCCACGGCTGTAGGCAGCCTCCTGGAGGGTGGTGAAATATCCTCCAATCACCCTGCGGCCCAAGTTGAGAAGAATTCCCGCAAGATGGAGCCCGAAAGCCCGAACTCCTAGGGCTGATGTTGGACAACGGAGTGCATCATTCAGGAGGAAAAGCGCCAACACAAGGAAGAGCACCAACCCCTCGGCTCCAACATCGTATCCCGGGCGATGGAGCCCGATATCAGAACTTCTAGTGCTGGCGCTGACCGACGGAGTTTTCCACTCATCATGGAGGAAAGCCAGAAAAAGCGAGAGGTGCTCGCAAAGAGGCGGAAAAGCGGGACGGTGTCGTGGTGAGACCCGGACCTCTATCACAAGGACGGCTACTAGTCTAGCTTCCGGCGAGTTCTGACGAACGTACCAGGAGGAAAAAACATCAGCACAAGGGAGAGCACCGACAAAGACGGCTCCGGAAGGCGGGAATGACGCTCGATGAGGGCTCCGCGGGGCGAGCGGGGGATCACCAACGAGTTGACACGGTTCCTGAACCCCTGATCACTGCGCCTTGGCGTGCGGTGGATGGGGGATGTAGGGAAATGACCAAATACGTCGATGCAGCAGCACTGCTAAAAGGCACCCACCGAAGTAATATCTAACGATGATTCCGGTGGGAATCATGCCAGAGTTCGGAAGGGCCACTGGTGCAAGGGTTTACCCTGCCCACGCCCTCCCCATAAAAAAAAAAAAAAAAAAAAACACACACATACATACCAACATGTGTCAGAAATTCGATCTAGTATATAGAAATATCATTAAATATACCCTACGATTACTCTATAAAAAAGCCGAAATGGAGCCCATCACAAAGCTTCCTCTATGAGGAAGCAATATTGTAATTACTGCTCATGTCGGTTATAACGAGAACTTTTCGATGTTCCCGTAAATCTCGTTATAACCGGCCTCCACTGTATAACAAAAAAATTTTTTATCACTTTTTCCATGTCAAAATTTTTGAAATTAAACAAATTAGCAATGATTTTTTACATCATATATTTCATTTGATGAACTTTGTAGATAAGCGTTCAAAAAGAAACATAAAAATTTTGCGTACCAATTTGGAAAATTATAGTTTCATCAAATCTGATTGAAAGATGTTAAATAGTTTTGTTTAACAAAATTAAGGTAGCATTCGGGTTTAAAACTTTCTTTGAATTAATTTATTTTTTATGATGGATTTCAAATGCTAATACCTTCTTGAACTTTGTGTAAAAATTTCAAAAGGATCCGCGTAATATAAGTATACTTATTAAGATATTATCCCTATTGAATGTACTACAGTCTAAAAGAGCATAAAATTACCTTTAATTTTATAGTACTAAAACCTATCTACGTTCATTAAAACCAAAGTTACAGGTCTTCAAAGGTTCTCAAATATTCAAATATTGAATCCGCTTTGAACGATTCACAGACTTGATACTTGATTTTTCAATGAAACTTTAAATACCAGTAACTTTGGTTCTAATTAATGTGGATATGTTTTTGTACTATCAAATTAAAGGTCTTGATCTCTACTTTTACGCTGTTATATTTAAAATAATCGTTTACGCTTAGGTCTACGAGGAAGTAAAACCAGTAACTAAACCCAAGGTTTAGCGCTTTCAAGTAGTTTAAAACTCGAGTTTACATTTTTTTTAATTTTCCCACGTTATTTAAATGGGAAAAAAGCTGACAACGGTGGCACTATCTAGAGTTAACTTATCGATTATTGTAACCCAAATCTAAAATCCTTCAGATTTTTTCAGATGACCTAACGCACCTTTCGAAGCCAAAAACCGCTTTTTTTGACGAAAATAATTTTTTTAGGATGGTACGGAGCCTCGAAAAATCTGGAAAAATTTTTTTCTCGTTGTTTTCACCAAAATACATAACCTCAAGTTTTTTCAGATTATTTAATTGAAGGCGATAGCTTCTAGAGCCGAAAAATGCTGTTTTTAACAAAAAAGGTTCCTAGAACCCGATGGTTCCGGTGGAAAAATTTAAAAATATTTTTTTAGGATTCCTTGACAAATTTTAATAAATTTTGAGCGTTTCAAGTTTCCGATTAAAGCCTCCTAGCTCAATCTAGAGCATCAAAATAGTTTCATCATTTCTTAATGTGTCTTCAGAAACGTCTTCAGAACTTTGCATTAATCTTTATCATGCTCTAGATTGAGCTAGGAGGCTTCAATCGGAAACTTGAAACGCTCAAAATTTATTAAAATTTGACAAGGAATTATATTGAAAAATATTTTCAAATTTTTTCACTGGAACCATCGCATTCTAGGAATCTTTTTTTGTTAAAAATAGCATTTTTCGGCTCTAGAAGCTATCGCCTTCAATTAAAAAATCTGAAAAAAATTGAGGTTATGTATTTTGATGAAAAATACGAGTAAAAAAATTTTTCAGATTTATCGAGGCTCTGTACCAGCCTAAAAAAATTATTTCCGTCGAAAAAAGCAGTTTTTGGTTTCAAAAAGTGCGTTAGGTCATCTGAAAAAATCTGAAAAAAATTGAGGTTGTTTGGATTGTTGAAAAGTATTTTTGTGAATTTTTTCAGATTTTTTAATTGCTTTATGTCCTCAGAAAAAAAATAGATCGAAAATGGACGTTTATAACGGAAGTGGGGGGTAGGAGGGGAGAGGGGGGGTCTAAAAATTTTTTTTGGGACCTTTTTACCATGTACTGTAACATTCAAAAAGCGCGTCAAGATCGGTGACATACGTGCGCACGGTTTGGTAAAA